TCAGAAGATTGTTGACAGAATTGGGTTTCAAGCCAGAAAAACCAATGGAGTTACATTGTGATAACAAGTCAGCCATCGATATTGCCCATAATCCAGTTCAACATGATCGGACTAAACATGTTGAGGTGGATAGACATTTTATCAAGGAAAAAATTGAGAAGAAGATCATTCGCCTACCATTCGTAAAATCAGAAGATCAATTGGCAGATATCTTAACCAAAGCTGTTTGTGGAAGAGTATTTCATGACTCACTTACCAAGTTGGGCATTGGTGACGTATATGCACCAACTTGAGGAGGAGTGTTGACGTGAGTCTCCTAATTAATCAAGGAGATTTATTTCCTTGATTAATTAAGGGATTTACTTTCCTATTTTATATAATTGATAAATCTTTGTATAATTAGGAGATACTTTCCTAATTCTTTCCTGTATCTAATTCCTTGTATAGCTCTCTTGTAAACTCTTATATATACCTCCTTATGGAGAAGAATAAATCATTTGAACATATTGAAAACCCGTATTCATATTTTAGCAAGGCACACACTTGAAGTTAACTTAAAATCTGTAATTACTATATATTTACTGATCATCTTGCTCACCGTCTCTTTACACCAAATAGTAATTTCATATTTTACTTGAACTTGGGCATGCATGCATGCAGCAGTCGAAAATTAAATTTTAACACTGAGGGCTTGTTTGGTAGGGAGGACTAGACGAGACTAGAAAAATGTCAACATTTCATGTGCATTGAATGTATAGTATGGATATGTTGCCTAATTTAAAAGAAGAATGAGGACTATCTATAAAAAGTTGATGAGTAAAACATATTTCCCTAATTCCCTTGAAATAAATAAACTTGTGTTTTAATGGATCCAATGCTAAGATCAAATCCTGAAATGGATACCCAAGAAAAAAAAAAACTTGGTCCCAAAAAGAAGCTTCTCACAAGAATGGAGTTGAGTAACTTAAATTAACGAGTATTCTCATTTGTAGTGTCGGTGCATTAAAAATTGGTAGAATTATGAGGGATAAGTTCACGAGCATTCATGTAAAATGACGATTTTTCCTCTGAAGCATGAAATCCAAGGAAAATTCATGCTGAGGTAGGCACTTGAAACAAAAACCGTTTACAAAGCCGCTGTGCTCTCTCGAAAATATTCTATAAATAAATTGGTTCAGAGGCCACATGGCAGCACCAAACCCTCTTTGCTGAGCTCAACCTAAACACACGTCTCTGTTTACTCTGTTTCGGTAAAGGCTAACTGAAGTGATAACTGAGACAGTGCACTGCACATGCACTCTAGCCTATGTGCCTTCTTGTTCAGTAGCCAAGTAAGTACTTGAGACCTCACAGCTGCGTCTTGTTCTCATCAGCCTAATTAATGGCGTTTTGTGATTTACTGGGCCCTCCTGCATTATAAATAAGGCCAAGCAGACAGAGCGTAGCATTGCATTGGAGTTAGGTCTCAGATAAATATTTCTATATCTATCTGTGTAGCTTCTGCTTGTGTTGTGCGGCTTTGTGAGAGAGAGAGAGAGAGAGAGAGAGAGAGAGAGAGCAGTATGTTGGTGAAGAAGAAGATGAAAATGAAAGGCTATGGTTTCGTGTTTGCACTTGTTCTCATCTTTTCCTCAGTGGCAGCTGAGATAGTACCCCAAGATCATGAGAGCAAAGGTTTCCCTTTTTTTTGTTTCATTATTTCTTGTGATTTCTTACAAAATTGAAGTGTGAACATGAGAAAATCACTAAATTCAAGTTTAACAAATCCTGAAATTGATTTTTATTGCATGGTGTGAAGTCCACATCTCATAAATCTCAATTTATTTGTTTTATTTATTTTCAAATTACAACTACAATTTTAGGCTTCACCTTCACATGTTTGAATTAATACTAGCTAGCTGAGCTCACAGATGAGTTGAAAATTTTGAGTACCTACTTGTGATGTGTGGCAGTGGATGGGGCAGAGAAGACGGTAGATGATTGCATTCAGTACGACGGCCTTGGTCGGCGCGGACGGTGTGGAAGCTCCGCCGCCTACGCTCGTGAAGAAGCCATGCCAGAAACACGTAAGTTTAAATGGGCATGCCATACATATGTGTATCTTTTTCCCGATATTTTCTTTTGATAAATGAAACATCTTCTGAGATAGTCCCATTAATTCGGATCATTTTTATCCCTAATCCACATATACTCAATAAGCTTTACAAAGTAATTTTGTTTTTCCTATAAAACAAGATTATCATATTCTTATGACTTTTAGAAAGTTCATTTGTGCAGACAGCGTAGCAAAAGAATCAGAAGCGGGAAATCATGAGATTTACAGCTTTGACAATCACCATTTTGGTGGTCATCATGGCGGTGGTGGAGGTTATCATGGCGGTGGTGGTGGTCATCATGGCGGTGGTGGTGGTCAAGGTGGTGGTGGTGGAGGACAAGGAGGTGGTCAAGGCGGTGGCGGTGGACAAGGAGGTGGTCAAGGCGGCGGCAGCGGACATGGAGGTGGTCAAGGCGGCGGGGGACAAGGTGGCGGCGGACAAGGAGGTGGAAAAGGCGGTGGTAAAGGTGGCGGACAAGGAGGTGGTGGTAGTGGCGGACACGGGGGTGGTAAAGGAGGTGGTGGTGGCGGACAAGGAGGCAGCGGTAAAGGTGGAGGACAAGGCAGTGGAGGTGGTAAAGGCGGAGGTGGCGGACAAGGAGGTGGTGGACAAGGAGGTGGTGGTAGTGGCGGATATGGGGGTGGTGGTGGAGGACAAGGCGGCGGTGGTAAAGGCGGTGGACAAGGAGGTGGTGGTAGTGGCGGACACGGGGGTGGTAAAGGAGGTGGTGGTGGCGGACAAGGAGGCAGCGGTAAAGGTGGAGGACAAGGCAGTGGAGGTGGTAAAGGCGGAGGTGGCGGACAAGGAGGTGGTGGACAAGGAGGTGGTGGTAGTGGCGGATATGGGGGTGGTGGTGGAGGACAAGGCGGCGGTGGTAAAGGCGGTGGACAAGGAGGTGGTGGTAGTGGCGGACACGGGGGTGGTAAAGGAGGTGGTGGTGGCGGACAACGGCGGTGGAGGTGGTAAAGGCGGAGGTGGCGGACAAGGAGGTGGTGGTAGTGGCGGACACGGGGGTGGTAAAGGAGGTGGTGGTGGCGGACAAGGCGGTGGTAAAGGTGGCGGACAAGGCAGTGGAGGTGGATACGGTGGAGGGGGTGGAGGATACGGTGGAGGTGGAGGTGGCGGAGGATACGGTGGAGGTGGTGGATACGGTGGAGGTGGAAGTAGCGGGGGTGGCAGTAATTAATGCTAGCAATAGAAAGGAAACCGATGTGACGGGCCAAATAAGGCTAGCTTAATGAACCAAGAATAAAAACTATGCACCTACTTAAACGAGGGCCAAGTGTATGATCAAGTGTAGAGAGGAAAACATGAGTGAGAACTGGGTTTGTGGGTGTTATATCAATATATCTATGTTCCATAACCAAAAATATCCTCAGTGGACGCAATATATGGAACCCCTTTTATAATATATTATATATATAATGCATATTTTATAAATCCGTTCGTTTTTTTTTTTCCTTATCGATGGATTGTGATGCATGTTAATTAAGATTAAAACTTGTGAACTTTTATCCCATGTGTTTGGTAAAAATTATGATGAGTCTGAGTTTGGTGTGCAACCATGTAACATGCAACACTTGAGAGCAACACCATGAGATTGTGCCAAAGACGCAAGATTTATGGGCTAGCTTGGTAGAAATCAAGGACAAACTACTAACAGTTCATTTTCTAATTTTTTTTTTTCAACGGTGCAGTTAGAGCCACTGTGTGCCATGTGATGAGAGTAATACGGATGCCTCCTCTCCCTTCTTTTTCTTTAGTTCAAGTTTGAATTGCGGTCACCAACTCTCTTATCCATCTCCAATTTTTAAAGGGGTGGGTGCCAATTTGACCCTGTAGTCTTTTCCCACTTTAAAGGGGTTGATAGACAAACATAATTAAAGGGGTTTGTCTACTATTCAAGATGTGTTATTATGCCGACAAGTAGTGTTATTATGCCGACAAGTATTAATTCAGTGGAAAAATGATATTGATTTGCATATTAGTAATCTCAAGTTCGAACTGCACTATTCATCATGCCGACATTAATTTGCATATCAGTAATCTCAAGTTCGAACTGCGCTATTCATCAAGCATGATAGTGCATACCAACAATAGATAGGTTAATTGTTACCAAATTTTGACCAAATATATGGATATTGAAAGGGAGGAAGATTAGACCAAGACAATGAAAACGGTGGACAGATGTCACCCTTTGTCCAATAAACAATTCCTCCAAACTTGTAACATCCAACGAATTATACATATATAATATAGCACATATACCTATTCCCTCAAAGCTTTTAATTATTGCTTGACAATCTTGTATTTACATTGTTCCCTAAATCAAGCTCGTTTCGTTGACAAGATGGAAACCAAAAAGAAGAGCCCTTAAATCTTCAACTGTTGCAGCAGCAGAAGCAGCAGCAGCTGGAAGACAAAAAGAAGAGCCCCAACGTGTGAAACAAAAAGGGCCTTCCAATCCAACCTCCTGGTCCTGGCCCACCTTTGAGAAAAAAAATTAAAAGTTAAAACCCACGAGCTCCTTTGAAAACAACATCAACGGGAAACGCTCGTCATCTTCTTGGGAACAACTTCTCCACGCCCTCTCCTTCCCATTTGGCCTTTTTATATCTGTCTTTCACTCTCTGTTTCCTCCATGTTTTTGGGTTTTCCCTGAGCAGCAATTGAGGACCAGAAGCTATGAAGATCAAGAAGAAGAAATTGTCATGGTCTCTGAGAAATGAGTGCTCTCAATTGCAAGAAGAAATTACTTAGTTTCTTTTGGGGTGACATTTATGTATGTCTAGCTTTTTGGTGTGAGTGTTTCCGGTGGAGAATTCACCGGGCAAAAGATTTAGCGGCGTACATGGGAAAGCCAGGCATTTGTTCTTCTTCTTCTTCTTGTTCTTCCGCTTTCATCTTGTTTTAATTATTTTTTTCTTGTTATATTTATATATGCATGCACTTTTTATTTTTCTTTTTCTCTGTCTTACAAGTGCACCAATGGTGATTCTTGATAGAAATGAAATAAGATTTGGCTGGTTTAATTTCCCAGGTCTTTCTTTCTCTCTCTCTCTCTAAAGTGTCTTCAATTATGAATTAATATATTCTTTTAGCTTATATTAATTTTTATATATCTAGCTAGGTATAGATACATTGCCCTTGAGTCTTATGCTTAAAAGTCTAATATTCTTCGGAGATCTGATTAATATTATGATCATGAACAAGCAAAACTGAACCTTCGTGGAATTTTCTTCAGTTTTGTTTAATTAGTTTCTTAGATAATTAGCTGGTTTTGTTGGTGAGGCATATTGTTGTTGAGCAATATTATAATCATATTCAAATGGTTTTGTTGCTTTTCATGAAATTATTGAGGCTTGGGTAATTACGTGACATAATTATTATTTGAAGGCCAACAACCGTTTAAAACAAGTAATTATTTCGTCCTTTTCAACCTAATTTACTCCATATTTTTCTTAAACCAATGGTTGGTAGAGGGGCAAATCAGTGGGCAAATTAATTATAAAAAAGCACTTCCGGCAGCATACGTGTATAATGTAATTTTGTTGTTGATGTATTGGCACGTCGTAAAAGTATTTTGTAAATATTTTATCGTTTGTTATAAAAAGAACATGTTATATTAATAGATAACGTGATCTTGTCAAATATGTAGATGTATATTCGAATTATGTGCCAGAACTAGATATTCATTTAAGAATCGCACAATTAATAGTTTATATTCACAGTCCGAAAAGAGAGAACAATTATATATTTATCTTCTAAATAATAACATGTTATATGCAACATGTATGTTTTGGTTTATGGTTTTTCATATTACTTCTAAATGCTGAAATTGAAAACTTACCCTCTGTTTGGATAAATGAATTGAAAATTACATAGAATTCTAAAATGATGAAATTTAGATTTCCATCATTACAATTTCTGACAATTGAAAGTTTCAGTGTTTGAATTTATATATGTCGAATTTTGTAAATGACAGAATTTTGTAAATTGCACTATGGAAATTGTGAAATGATACTTATTTTGGTGAAAATTAAACTCAAGAATTTGATGTCTCAATTTACATGATTTTTTCCGCGTGCGTCATTTAATAAATTCTGCGCATTAAGTTGTCAAATAAGAGAATTGTCAATTTCTCATCTTAAATTCTCGACTTTTAACTAAATTTCGAATTATTTTCCCTCATCTAGACGGAAAGTAATATCATTGCAAATTTGGGAAGGCCTCGGGGGAGTGAAAAACTATTTTGACTTGAAAATTTTGAGGCGTTTCAGGTGCATCAATGCTTCTTCTTGTAGGTTGATAAATGGACACCTGTTAATTTTGAGACATCTTTTTTGAATGGGATATAGAAAATAAATAAATAATCATACTAAAATAAAACTTGGTAATTGTTTTGATAAACCGTGTCGGAAGGAAAAGCTCTTTCAATATTACACGGCTTGCATTGCGCCCAAGGCTCGACGTTGTTGATATAATTTGACTTCTCCCCCTTCATTTCTTGGTTAATTATGTATTCTATCTAATTTAGCTGTGAACAAAACGTTGTGATTTAATTAGACTCAATTATTTCTGTGGTTTAGGACAGTGATTAATCATTATATTATACTATAAGTTTTTTTTTAATACAAGCGGTAGTCTATCATCATTGATATGTATATATATATTTTTAATATAAGGGGATGGAAATTTATCACACACACTACTAAGGTACTATGCGGATTCGAACTTGAGATCATTAATTTGTAAATCAATGTCATTTTTTACTGGCCGTTTATTACTATATACTTTTAGTGTGCGTAATTAAGGTTCCATCTGTGCAATATTTTAATGGCTGTAAGAGGGTTTCAATGGAGTCGCTTAATTTGATTGTGGTTTATGGGGAAGTGAGTTAGTGGAATTGGGAGACCTTGAATCGTCAACGACAAGAATGCCTTGGAAGTTTGTACTTGATTAAGATTGGTTAACTTAAACTAACTCCCACTTTTTTCATCTTTGACATTACTAAAAATTTATATGCACGTGATTTGCTCTACAAGGAGATATATATATGCACGAGGCTTTCTAAATTAAACTTCGTCAAAGAAAAAGATGACATGAGAGAGCTAGGAATTCAATAAAGAAAATTTTCATTTTCATGCGTAAACACAATATAGTGCTTGAAATTTACGAATGTATTTTAGTTTATATATTTGAATATAATAAGTTAATGGATCGAGTTGACGTTTAAAATTATCTCACATAACATAACACGAATACCCCAAAATACGACATACTACCAAGGCCAAATAATGAAAGGTACATACTCAAATCGGTGGTGATAAATGCCAATTCCTACAACCTCAAACACTAGCTCGATATCTCACCCACTCTAAACTCCGGTTAAGTTCCGTATGAACTCCTAAGTTCAAACTCCACACTTATTTGGACTCTAAGAAAGAAAGTAAGTTTTTCTTCTTTCCTTATAAAAAAACAAATGAAGTAGAACATATTGCTTATAATTATGTGTCTATCTCTTTCGTTATGTGATAAGTTATGTGGTCAAAGACACGGATGATATATTTTAAAAAAAATTAAAATATATACTCATTACAAATGGCCTAATTCATGTCCCATAACACCTGTGCCTACAGTTGCATGGGCTTCTTCCGAAACGCATGCTCAAGAGCAGTTGCATGGGCTTGTCCCCAAGTGGAGCCGAGAAGACAGATTGGTGGTTGAAGAAGATGACAGTGATAATAATAATAATAATAAAATATTCAGTATTTGTTTGTAATGGTCAAGAGATCTAGTACCCATAGTCAACCACTAGTTCAGCTTTTATGCCATGAATTACTGACCCTCTAGCAGTGAGTGTCGTGACACCAAATTTTGGAAGTATAGGAAGGGTTCTATTCGTATCCAGTGAAAAGCCTAACTAGCTTACAAGGGAGATCACGAGCGGTTCAACAACTTCAATTTGTTTGAATTGGCTTGAACACAATCCCCCACAAAGTTCTGCTAACTAATACATAGCTGTAGGGAAATTTGGAAAAAGAATCTTCCTTTTGAACACATTTTAGATTTTTTTTCTCAATTTTTTTTTTTTCACGATTTAGAGATATAGTCACTCGAAGGCCCTCCGAACAACACTAAAACTCCTTGAGAGGTTAAAAATCTAAAAGTTGATAAAAAGGGAAACTTCACTAGTTATATATATAGAGTAAGCTTTAGTTGAGGGATTCTTCAAATAAGCTTATTTGAGTGACACACTTGTATGGGCTACTTTGCATTGTATTTCATTAATCCAAACTGTCTATTTTTTTTTATATATTCATTCGAAGATCATCTCTGCAAAAAATCACATGAATCTGATATCATTTGACTACTCAATTAAATTATTGAAATTTTAGTACTTTCTTAAAGCACTGTGTTCATCGATTTTGTAGGACACAATTAAATGTCTAAACGGTTTTCGATTTGTCTAATTTTTTGTAAGAATGATCTATGAATAATAGACCTAAAAAATAGATAATTTGGATCATTGGAGAAAAAAAAATTATAAAGTACCTTAAAGGCATCTCTCAAATAAAATTATTTAAGAAATTTTTCAATAGAAGGACATTATATATATATATATATTATATGGTAGGGTCGTGGGCTCACGTAGGCTTTAAAAATGGATCAGCTTGATATTTTGTTGTGGGGCTTTCATACACTCGGTCACGAACTGATGTTCCTAATTAAAATTACTAAAATAATACGTTGTCAAGAGGATTGGATCAGTGCTACTTGGCCTAAGATTATTTGAAGAAAAAAAAATAAAGGTGATGCAGAGTTGGACAATTTAGCATTTGAAAATTTCACAATCTCCTTTACAGAAAAAGTGGTGGATGGATTGCAAAGTGCAAATCATGTCATATGTAAAATAAATAAATAAATAAATTAGAACAATTTTAGAACTGTAACAATGAATGACAGGAGGTTGATTGCTTGCAATCTTTGTCCAAAAGAAAGCGAACCAAAAATGTCAAAAAGTATACAGAAGAATTATTGACATATTTACTTATCATTAAGAATAGGTATTGGAATTATTTTAGACAGAGAAGAGAAACTTTTCTACAATTTTCTTTACACGGGATTACAACGATACGATACGGAAATGGTAAAGTCTATATGAATCATCTAAAAGTAAAAACTCGTATGCAATCTTTGTCCACAAGAAAAGCAAAACCAGTAGATTTGTTGAGCAAATAAATGCATTGGGGCACCGGTGTACAAATGTGGTAGCAATAATCATGGCTTGGTGTGTATGCCCTACATCATTATTGAAATCTATATGCAATTGAGTAAGAGTTATTTTGGCATTTGAGATGGTGACTTTGCTTAGGCCATACAAGTTCTCATGTTTGTGCATATGGTCTTGTCTTTGTTGTAGAGGAAGGAAGTAGGTGATTACACGTGTAATACATGCAATAATCCAACATCATTGATTGGTTGAACACAAAGGGACCACCCCCCCTCCCATATCATTGATTGCCCTTTTTTAGTGGTAATTATTTTGGAATTGTTTTAGATGCTAATCTTGTAGTTAAATTTTGTATTATATCAGCTTGAAAAGAGGCGGACACACTCTCTAGGTCAACTGACCTGACCTAACCGGCCTATGCTCTCACTTTTGTACCATTAGTGACGGCTTTGAGTAGACATTTGAAACCTAATTACAATAACTAATGTAGGAGGATTAATGCAGGTGCCTTGAAGCCTTATTAAAAACATCATTAGAGTAGAGATATTATGTTTGGTAATTCCTCCATGGTTTCTTCTAGTTGGTCCTTATGCCTTTGTCTGAGAATGCTAATGTGCTTTATTATTTCAAATTTTTTTTTAAAAAAAACAAGAGATGACCATCGGTTTTTTCCCTTGTGGGACCCACAAAAGAACCGGCCCAACTTCTTGTATTCGTAACAATGGAGGCCGGCCCAGCACCCAAAGGTCCCAAAACACGTACACATGTCCTGCTACGAATATGCTGAAACTAGTTGCGCTCCGAAGAGCAAACATCTAGTGCTTCGGTCGTATTTCATATCCCGTACAGCCGCATCATCAGCACACGTGTGAAGCCTTCATACCACGACCACAACGTACGACTACCAGTCAGCTTACGTGGCGTTGTCTATCTTCGGACACGCTCAGACGATCAGGATCAGATGTCAGACGCTCGCACGTGATATCAACCTTCCTTTTTGGCGCGCTTAGAGGGAGTGGCCCCACAAGGTAGGCCCCGCGACTTCCAGCTCACTTGCACTTCGGGCAATTATTTTGCGGGCCATAAACAGTTGAACAGAAATGCCCTGTCTCTCTCAATTAATTACGGATATGCTCCTTCTTCCCAACTATGTCAAACTAAAAACGCGCTTTTCTTGTCGACTCCTCAACTTTGAAATTTTTTAGCTCTTATTTATCTTAATATCGTTTTTTTTTTCTTTCACTTTTTGTCAAAAGTTAATATATTGATGCCAACAGGGATCTAGCGCAATGGAACAAGGTCTTGACTTGCAAATCGATGGTTTGAAGATTGAACTGTCATGACATCTTGATAGTATGTTTGTGAGTTGTAATTTAAACTATCACTTATATTAAAAAAAGACAATATATTGATATTCTACCACAAAGTAATTATAGAACCAAGTGTCAATTTCAAATTAATGAAGGCGCTTTGGATTAAAAACAAAGTTTAATGAAAGTAATAAATTAAATGGGCAAAGAAAAAAAAAGAAAACTTCACACATGTCAATGGCATAGAAAGCAAATTCATCTCCAACCAAAAATAAAAATCACCAACTTCCTCTCAGTTGTAATTCCCTCTCTATGTGTCTCCTTTTATTTTGATTTCCATTTTAACTAAAACTCCCTTAAAACCCCAAAAATATAAAAAGGGTAACAAAATAACAAAAGAAGAAGAAAAAAAGAAAAAAGAAAGACAAAACTCAGTACACAGTGTGAATGTCTCTCTTCTCAGTGTCAGCTGGCGCCCCAATTACGTTCCAAAAATATATTTATAGAGAGAAATTTGAAAGGAAAAGACCCACAAAACTAATTTCTTTTACAAATTGGACCCCTTCCTTACTTCACTATTTTCTCTTCCACGCCAGGAAGCACGACTTAAGACCATCCATTTTTTTTCTGTTGTGTCCTTTAACTCCAAGCTTAAATTACCCCCAAAAAATCCGGACTTTAATGATAAGCCACTTCTTAATCATCTATCCCCTAATATTTTTATTCCTAAATTAGAACATTCTTGTGCTCTTGATTTGAATCAAACCCAATCTCAGGTACCCACTTTCTTTCCTCATTTTCTCTTTTGTATTGATATTGCAGGACAAATCTCTTCTGGGTTTTCTTTTTCATTTCCCACTTTCCTTTTTTCTGGGTTTTTTTTGTTTGAAAATATATATTTTCGACAAAAAAAAGCCCACCGGAGAGGGAAAGAGACTTTTTTTTTTTTGGGGGTTATTATTTAGGGTAGAGTATATTAATGGCACAAAAGAGACTTTCATGGCCATCACAAATGCTAGATTTTGGTGATATGTTTTTGTGCCTGACTCGTCTTTCATCAAATCTTTAGGGACACAGCTGAAGAAAATAAACACTTCGCAGCCTCTCTCTCTCCTTCAGTCCTTGTTCAAAATCCCAAAGCTTTTTCTCAGGCTACAATATAAGACCACTTCATGGTTTTGTAGCAGGTGGGCTTTTCTTGTTTGACAAGGGCCTCTCACCAAAATATCTTATCTTTCCCTTTCTTTTCTTGATCTACCACAATAACCCCAAGAAATGTTTGGAACTCAAAGCCAAAGAGACCTCCCCTTAGAATTCCAATCCCAAATACCAATTTTGAGGCCTAGCATCCATACCAGGAGGGCTAATCTTACTGTAAAGTTCCAAGACCTTTATGGGTTCACAGTAGAAGGGAATGTAGATGATGTTAATGTGTTGAATGAGGTGAGAGAGAAGGTGAGGCAACAAGGACGGGTGTGGTGGTCATTGGAGGCTAACAAAGGTGCAAATTGGTACTTGCAGCCTTCCATATCTGAAGGAATTGCCCTTAAATCTTCGCTAAAGTTTTCAGCTTTGGCCAATGCCATTACTTTGAAGAGGCTGATTAGGAAGGGAATTCCACCTGTTCTTCGGCCCAAGGTGTGGTTTTCGTTATCTGGGGCGGCCAAGAAGAAGTCCACGGTACCTGAGAGCTATTACAACGATTTGATAAAGGCCACTGAGGGCAAGGTCACCCCTGCCACCAGGCAGATTGATCATGTGAGTTCCTTTGCCTCTCTTTTTAGATTGCAATGGTGGTTGTAGCAAATGTTGGATCTTGCCTTTTTCAATCAAAGAATTTGACTTTGTATATGCATGATCTTTCTTAGCATCAACTTCCTTTTGAGAGATTTAGTAATTTGCTGGATGGATGTAGGAAAACATTAGCTATTCTTGAAGATTAGGTATCATTTGTGGCTGATCTTGTGATTCATGATGATAATTTGGAAATTTCTAGTTTGCATAATATGGCTGTCTGCTTATAGAATTCCATTGGGAAAATCTTCCATTACTTTTTTCTCTAATGTTCAGCATTTCCAAGGGCTATAGCTTATAAGTTGTATCTGTATTGCCATTAAATTCCCTCCACTTCTGCAATTCACTCCTTGATTGTATGTGCAGGACCTGCCCCGTACCTTCCCGGGTCACCCATGGTTGGACACCCCAGAGGGTCATGCTGCTCTTCGACGTGTCCTTGTTGGGTATTCTTTCCGTGATTCTGATGTTGGCTACTGTCAGGTAGCTCTCCTGCACCTGCCATAATACACATGAGCCATTCTTAAAGTTATCTGACTATCATGAGCATAAAAGTGCAAACCATTCTATATGTTACAAGCTGATATTATTAAAAATATTTCTGTTGTTTGTTTCATGGTCCTTACATGAATCTTGTTTGAAATTGCAGCATGTTCAAAATTTTACTTTTTGTAATCATAGTTTGATGCAAAAGAAATGTCTTGTTCAAGCATTTTTATCATAGTAGAATTGTGAGTTTTACAAATGATTTTATTCAGGTTAAGTTCAATCCTCCGGTTTTCTTCCTCTTTATGGCACCCTTTTTGTGTTTACTTTTCCTTTTCACATCCAATTGTTAATTAGTAATATTTTATGTTGTTTACATTTAATCTATTTAGTAGCCGCACCTCTCTTCTAAAGAGAATTTTCTAAGCAGAGTGAATAACAAAAATTGAATCTATTCAAATGGTTTCCCAAATGCTATTGTTGCAAATTACAACAGTGCATTTCTGTTGTTTCCTCAGCCACCAAAACAGCTTATCTCACCAACTCTTATTCTATGACCCACTCAAGTATGAGTTTTGCTGCTGTCCGGTAAAAAATTTCAGTAGGATTGACTGGAAAAATTTATCGATCACAAAATGCTTGAGGGTTGATCTCCACCTATCTTTGTTGCTTGAGAGAGAATATCTTATTTCGTGTACTTTTCTGAAATAAATGTTTTGAAGAGCCAAAGTTGGTTTCCTTTGTCTTTATGCTGATGTTTACTTACTTATCTGGAATGGTTGGACCTTCTTGTTGCAGGGGTTAAATTATGTTGCAGCATTGCTACTGCTTGTGATGAAAACAGAGGAAGATGCATTTTGGATGCTAGCAGTCCTGTTGGAAAATGTGTTGGTTAATGACTGCTATACAAATAATTTATCAGGATGCCATGTTGAACAAAGAGTTTTCAAGGATTTCCTTGATAAAAAGTGCCCAAGGTACCTTCTTTATACTTGGCCTGAAGTGTCTTATGTTTTACTTTCCTCTTGTGTATCTTCTAACATTGGAAGAAAAATGCAGGATAGCAATGCATTTGGAAGCAATGGAGTTTGATGTCTCCCTTGTTGCCACTGAGTGGTTTCTCTGCCTCTTTTCTAAAAGCTTGCCTTCAGAGGTTAAAGCAATACTCTCTCTCGCAAAAATAGAAACATGCTGAAATAAGTTGAGGTTGTTTTTGTGACTAACACTTTCATGGGGCTCTCCCTTTTTTTCTTTGCCTGTTTTTTTAATCTTGAAAGACTGCTCTAAGGGTATGGGATATCCTTTTCTACGAGGGGGCTAAAGTTATTTTTCATGTGGCTTTGGCAATCTTTAAGGTACAACTTTAAATTTTTGGCCGTTTGCATTGTTTGTATCAGTCATGCAGATTTACTTGCTCTTGACTGTCGATCATCTAAGTTCAGCTGAAATATTATATGGTAATATCAGAGAAGTTTGTTTGATTTTGTGGTTTGCAATTGCAGATGAAGGAAGAGCAGTTGCTTATAACCCACCATGTCGGTGATGTAATTAGTATTCTGCAGAGAACTACTCATCACCTGTTTGATCCAGAAGAGCTATTGACGGTAACACATTTCTTTGCAGTTTGCTTTTTTTTTTTGGAAAAAAAGAAAGTTATTATTTTCTTGTCTCAACCTTGTCCTCCATCAATCATGCATTAAAGGGAAACTTGACTAACATGTATGTAAAATTAGCAGAGAAGTCTTTCGGCATGGATGAATCGGAAATTTATAATTGATGTAAAAAAGGATTGATGAGGTGTTGAAATGATTTTGCTTCTAATATGGTGTCACACTCTTGCAGGTGGCATTTGATAAGATAGGTTCAATGACAACCAACAATATATCAAAGCAAAGGAAAAAGCAAGAACCAGCAGTGATGAAGGAACTCGATCAGAGATTTAGACGGCTAAATTCCCTAAAGTTGGATGACAAATAACATTTGCAGCATTGCAAGCTGATGAAACTGCAAAAATGCCGGACGATCTAGTGGGGGAGCTTTTCGTTCCTCCCCTAGGGAAGAAACTGAATTTGTTGTGTCTCTTCTCTCCTCTGTGTTTCTGTAAAAGAAACAACCAAGCAAAGAGAGTGTCTGTTGTCTATTAGGATGTTGTAGTAGGTGATCAATGTAAATTTCTAACTGTTATTCATATACGTGGTTAGATACACTGCAAATTCGGGCATTGTTGCGTTTTAGTGCCCTGTAATTTTTGCTTCAAATGTTGTGTCTATAACTTTCACTCAATGAAATTCAATTTGTTCTAGAAATCTGTTCTACTCGCAAAAAGAAACTGAAAATCTGTTTTTTAGGCCCTTGGTGCCTCTAAAGAGAAACTATGCCCTTCTTCTGAAGGAAATGCAGAAATGGTAATTTGTGATAGAGAATGAAGGTTATTACATTTTGGATAATTAAAAGTTCACCAGCAAGAAAGAAAAAAAAAGGCAAAACGACACTTGTAGTCCTTGTGGTTTCCAACTTTTACCACTAAGGTCCCTGTGGTTTCAATTTCGTCACTTTTGCCACTGTGGTTTAAGAATCCAAGCAATTCAAGGACACTTCTCAATTTCCGTCAGATTTATGTTAGTTCTGTTAGGGCATCAGCACGTCCCCCTCACATGGAGGGGCATTACGGTCAAATCGAAACTCTTCTTCGAGCCACGATTGCCCCCTCCCACACCCCACCAACCCAGCCAATCTCTCTCCCAAACTCTCACCAAAACACTTCAATTTACCGGAGTTAATCAATTTCTTTTGTTTTTGTTTTAAATTTGGATTTCAAGTTAAAATCCAGTTGTAATTGACTTTTTAAGTTCGGTTCCAAATCTGGGTTTCCAAATCTGGTGGTCGACGACATTCACAGCTCTTAATTCACGATTTCGCCTCCGAGAAGTCGCACAGAGGTGAGGAGCGATCCAGCATTTGTTTTCTGGGGTTGAGCCGAGGAGATCTTGAGGTGAGGCGCGATTGTTTGGGAGGCAATGGCTGGAGGCTGACGGGACAGAGGGTGGAGGGTGGGTTAAGGAAGGGAGAAAGGGAGAGTGGGGTCAAAGTTGGATTGGGGAGAAATGGAGAAAGAGATCAAAGCTGTGCATTCCTTTTTCAAACCCCATTAGCCATTCTTCTTCAACTCCTCGAAATCAAACCAAAGCTGGATTTTTTTTTCTTTTCTGGGTTTCGTTAATTTATTTCTTTAATTATTTTGTTTTTCTGGGTTTGATTAATTCTTTTTTCTGGGTTTTCTGGTTTAATTCGTTTTTCTAGGTTCTGTGGTTTTCTGGCTGAGAAGGAGTGAGAGAGAGAGAGGATGATTGGTTGAGAAAAGGCTTTGGTGTGAAAGAAGAGGGCTTTGTGTTGTGGGTTTTATAGCAGAGAGAAAGGTTGAGCTTTTAGGGAAGAAGAGGTTGGAGAAAACACTTTTCCGTGAGAGGAAGCTACAAATTTCTCATGGGAAATGGCGTGAAAGCTTTAATGGAAAAAGTATGGAGTTGGTGTGGTGATGATGACCAGTATGAGGTTCAGCATCCAAATAGCAAAAATGATGGCTTTGGCTTGGAGAAGTAGGCAATTATTGAATCTTGTATTGTATTCTACTACAATCTGAGCTCTCTCAAAGCTTTTCTTTTTCTCTGAATATTTTTGGGTGCTGGCTTCTCAGAGAAGACGCAGTCACTCACTCTGCAACTTACTATAGAGCAATGCAAGGCTCTTCATTTTTTATTTTTTATTATTTTTGTTATTATTAATATTATTAATATTTTACTGTTTTTGTAATTACAGGGGATTTTACCTTAATGCCCCTCCACTTATTTAATAACTAACGGCAATAGCTGATGCCCTAACAGAACTAAAAGGAATCTGACGGAAATTGAGAAGTGTCCTCGAATTGCTTGGATTCTTAAACCACAGTGGCAAAAGTGACGAAATTGAAACCACAGGGACCTTAGTGGTAAAAGTTGGAAACCACAGGGACTACGACTATTGTTTTGCCAAAAAAAAAACATGGATATTATTGATTTTCCATATCCACTATGCTGTACTGTACTATAAATTAAGCACAACCCAAATCTCCCTCCTTCCCTTCACTTTCAATCCAAACCGTTACACTGAGAAAAATGCCCACTTTCTCGAAACCCATTCATCGTCACAATTCTCACTATGCACCCAAAACCCCAACCCACTAAACCCACAAGACGCAGACACGAAACCCGACCCGATGACCCGAAAGCGGCAACCTTGGACCATCGATCCGGAGCTGGACGGGATCGACCTCGATGCGTCCGACTTCGCCGCCTCCTTGCCCCTCAAAAAGGTCCCAAACGGCGACGTATTCGAGGCCTCACGTGCCGGCGACGTTGACCGCCTCAGCTACCTGTTAGAGTCCGGAGTCAACGTGAACGCACGTGACCAGTGGGACTCGGTGGCTCTCTACTACGCGTGCCTCGCCGGGCACCTCGAGGCGGCTCGCATGCTGCTCGAGAATGGCGCGATATGCTCGGAGCACACCTTCGACGGCGATCGCTGCCACTACGCCGCGCTTAATTTGAAGGTGAGGAAGCTCTTGAAGGCGTTCGAGGCCAGGCCGCCGCCTTTGAGCCCCTTGCAGGCCGCCATGAGAGAGACCTTCTTGGGATGTGGGGCTAATAGTGCCTATTTGGAGCAGGCTGATAATACCCAGTTCCAAATTTCAGGTATTTACTTGTTTCTGTTGTTCTGGGTTTTGGAATTGGATGGCTTGAAGTGGTGGTGTGTGTTGGTGTTTTTGGGGTGTGAGGCTAAATGGGTCGGTTTCAAATTTAGCAATAAGTAACCGATTGGTGTTAGTTTTCAAGATAAAAGTTTTTATAGCTGAGGGAGTTGTTGATTTTGGAATGTTAATGGGTATGAGAATTCTAGTGTAGGGATAAGGAAGAAGAATATTTCTTAGTTCATTTCTTGAACAATGTAGTGCGAGGATTGGCTTATGTAAAACCTAGTTAGCATATAGCTTGATATGGTCGAACTAGTTGAACAAGAGATACTGAGTGATGACGTCCTATGTGTTCTGATTTGGTAGTGAAGTCACAAGAATACAATTTCCGTTTGTGTCTGTTTTCGGAAATATAGGGATGAAGATGACGTTGGGTCTAACTTTTCTGAAATGTGTTGATTAATGCTATCAAGTTCGATACTTATGTTTAGCTGTTTCACTAGAAAATTCAAGTCAGTCCCGTGCTAGTAGTAGATTTAGCTAAAATTTGTGCCTATTGTGGGCCGTTGTCGTTCAGAACATCTGGATAGTTTTCTTTCAAGAACAATATGTATGTTAAGTGACACTCAACATTTGATTTTCCTGAGTAGGTCTTCAATCCAATGACGGAACCAATTCCAACTACTTCACTCCAGATGTGGTATTTTTTGTTCAAGGTAGACCCATCGAAGCTCACAGAGTCATCCTAAGTGCTCGGTCACCATTTTTCAAAACAAAGTTTGTGACTGATTGGAAACAACGCAAAGAAGTAAGATTTGCAAGGGAAAAGTTGTCATATCCTGCCCTATACAGTCTCATCCACTTCTTTTATTCTGACAGACTAGAGGTTGCTGTAGATGATATGGAGGATATTGTGAGGATCTGCAAAGTATGTAAATGTGAATCTTTACAAAGTATTCTTGAGAAAGAACTGATTCACCAAAAATATGCCGAGTACAAAGCATTGAGAGACATAGACAGCTCTAAAAAGCGGTTCATCTTACAAGGCCTGTCTCTTCCTGAAGAAGATCAGCTTCATGCTGGCTTGCACAATATCCTTCAGATTTCCCTTGCCAATTCCACCCTGGAACCCGACCTAGACAATGGGGTGAGCGACTTAACATCTTGTGTTGGTATGATGCAAATCAGTGATTTTGAAAATGATCTTGCGGATGTTTGCGTAAGAGTTGATAAAAAGAATTTCCGATGCCATCAAGTGGTTTTAGCATCAAGGTCAGAATATTTTAAAGCAAGATTATCCCGTATGAAGGACTTTCATGAAGGGAAAAATGATCTACCCATTGATACTCTTCCAATTCTTGAGGAACATGATTTGAGCTCCGAAGCATTTGAGAAAATGATAGAGTATATGTAAGTGTTCCTATTTTTTTAATAAAAAAGAGAAATTAGAATGGGAAAGATGAAATACTGTTATGAAGAAGATATGTTTTCACTTCCTTAATTTGGTATTTTGGTTGTTTATAAACATTTATGGTATTCGTTTGGTCAGTACAATAACCAGAGATTTTGTGCCTAGTCTGCATTTTTCTTGCACTTTTGTGTGATCAACTATGTTTTAGGTCTTCTGATTATTTGTGTTATTAAACTTTTTTCAACTCTTTGGTTGGTTCAGGTACACTGACAGATTGAAGGATATAGAACCTGATCAGGTAGCTTATATATTTATTAGTAGCTTCTAGCATTTCCGACAAAGAAATCAAATAGCTTGTAATGTTATTTCTATTTCTGGAAAAAGAAGATTCTGTTTTTTTTTTTTGGGTGTAATACTTGTCATTAACTGAACAGGCTGGGGAAATATTTGATGCCGCATCTAGATATCTATTATTTCCTCTTAAGCGTGCTGTAGCTGATGTACTACTGCCACAGCTGGAAAGTGCCTCACCTGCAGAAATGTGCCATTGGTTGATATTGTCAGACATGTATAGTGCTCCTTTAAACCCTACCCCCAATTTCGCTTTCTCTGAAATTCTGGTCAATAGCTATAGTTATTGTTATCCTTGAACTCTGGAATTTTACAATGTTTTGATGATGACATGTGTGTGTAGGTATGGAGTTCTGAAGATAAGGGAATTCTGTCTAGATGCAATAGCTTGTAATTTTGAGACATTTGCTGAAACTTGTGAATTCCGAGCAATGCTGTTGACACTGCCTCCACCATCTGGGGATTCATCATTTCGCACCACCGTTCCAAGTGCACCGGGAGCTGAGGTTAATACAGACCAGCGCAATCTTCTGGATGACTTACGAGAAAAATGGCTTGAAGCTGAAGCTGCTGAGCTTGACAAGAGAGATGAGAGTGCGCTAATTTTTGACAAGCGCCTTGAGATGCTCATGGTTGTTGCAGAACGAGAAAAATCTGATGGTCTTACTAATGATACTCCCAATGGTCCTAGAACATCTTTATTCCCTTGTCCTACCGCCCCCATAGCAAGTGA